GGGAATGCGTCTGTCTCCCATGAATAAGGAAACCATTAAGTGTTATTCATTTAATATTCAGCAAATATTAATTGAACGTAGGTCTGAAATGAAACCCTGCACTGCGTGCCGAGCTGGACAGCAACCAGTAATGCTATCCCAGAAGTGAGGCTGTAGTTAGTGCTATTTTGGGGGCCGCCTTTCCTTCTGGGCCTTTGTACTGAGTGTTTAGAGGGTGGATATGCTCACCCACTGAGAGTGGATGGTGGATGCCTGTTCCTTTAGTCTTTTTGTGACTATTTTCCTTTTTATAGAGAGGACAAAGTCTCTGCCGGGGCGCCCCCTCTCAAGAACTGGCTCTGCACACAGCTGATGCAGTCCCTGGGCACTTTGAAAGCAGTAGACATAAGAGCAGGTGAGGGCTCAGAGTTAGGAAAACAGCTTTGGGACTCTCCCTGCCTGGGGTCTCTAGAAGGGAGACTATTCTTAGGAGTATCTCTGCCCTGAAGGAGCCTTTCTTTGCCACTTGGCCTGAAGGACTTCTTTTTGAAAAAAGATCTGGACTAGAATCAAAATCCTGAACTGCGAAGAGATGGCCAATTAGGCCGTTGGGCTGAGTTCCAGCCAAGGAGTCGGGCTCTGCCTTTCAGCGCCCTGCACAGGCTGGAAAGAGATTCTTGGCTCATGGTTCTGTGGCATGGTGGGATGCAGGAAGCCAAGTTCACAATCCATGCCCCTCTGCTAATGGAGAAACCATGAGTCAGCCAACCCAGCTCTCGCCTATCTTAAGAGTCCAGCACAGACAATTGTATGGAAAGCAGGAAGAGGGGGAAAGGAAGCTGTAGAAAAATAAACATTTCCTTGCATTTTACTTGGAACAGAGTAGCGTTTCTGGCACGTTAAGATCCATAGCATCTCCCCCGTCCTCCCCCTGCTCTGTTTTCCTCCTCTTGTGTAGAAACGGATTCTTTCCTTACCTGATGGGAGTCCAGGATGTATCCTGTGGAAAAACAGGAGCAAGATATAGAAGGTAAAAGCCAAGCAACCAAAGATCACGCCACAGACCAGGAAACTATAGCTGCCCTGAGCCTGGAATATCTGCCAAAGGGGAAAACACAGAGAGATAGACCATTAAAACTTCACGTGGAAGGTGTATTGGAAGAAGCAGGCTTCTCCATCCTTGGCTGGTTTTTCGGTCAGGTTGAGGCCCGTCACACCAAGAGATGGAATCATGGGGAGGAGGGAGGCCTTGGCCTTATTTCAAGGTTATATGTCTGGAGAAGGCAGAAGTCCTACTCAAAGGCAGGGGCTGGACCTGGTGACCCCCTGCAGTCCCTTGTGTTCTGGAGCCTTCTGACAATCTCTATCATCATTGAAACTCCAGTCATACTAGGCGTTTCTATACCCATAAGCCCTAACCAGAACTTTACAGAGGATACATTGTTTTAACCTTTTATTATGAAAACTTAAAATGTGTCCAAGTCGTATATGGAGCCCCAAGGAACCCATCACTCAGCTTTAGCAATCAGCACCATTCATCTGTGAGCTTCCACTTCTTCTCTGCACTAGGTTACACCAAAGCAAGCCCCAGACATCACGTCATTTCAGTGGGGAGGGTATCATGAGATGTAGCTCTTCCCCTCCCTCCAGCAGGGCAAAGGAGGAGGAAAGGAGAATCGAGTCACGATGAGGGAGATTTTGGAAGCTGAAAGATCTAGACGTGAGGTCCTGTCAGTTACTGGAAGTGTGACTGACCTAGGGCACGTTGCTAAATTCATCTGAGTTTCAGTATCCTCTGTTGTAAACAGGGGAGTAATATCTACATTATAGTAATCAATAAAATGTTGAATGTTAGGTTTTATTTTTTTCTCCTAGTGAACAGATGAAACATGGGTAGATTTGAAGAGAACTGAAAGAGTTGGCCCTCGGTCAGGGCAGGAGTCGAGCAGGAAGCTGGGCCCTGCGCAGGGCTGCCAGAGGCTGCGAGAGGTGGGGTAGGGAGTGGTGGGTTCTGAAGGGATGGAAAAAGAACTCTCACTGCAGTTCCAACCCATCTCAGGCTCTGAAAGCTAAACAGCATTCCCATGGGCCCCCTCTGGCCCCGCTCCCAGACGTGGCTTGTGTTTGCTTTGGACTTTTCCATGCATCCGTTCACATCTCCAGATCCCACATACGGAGGCTCTGCTATCAGGGCCGGCTCAGAAACGGAAACAGGTAACACCGGCACAGGGAGCCCTGCTGGCTCTGCGGGAGACTCAGGAAAGGGACAGCTGGGGTGCAGAAGGCCGCTAGCTGCATCTTCTCACCTGTCAGAGGAGTGCTCCCCAAATGCTCCCCTCTCCCCTACAGGCCCCCACATACCGAACCAACCAGCATCTGCAGCACCATCTCACCAACTCCTGCCCCCGTCACCAGCACTGTGGTTGCACAGCCTGACAAAAAGAGAAGGTTCCGTTTGGTAAAAGCAAGTTAAAGAGACAGAAGTCAGAGCTACAGTTCAGGTTGCTGGCCAGGCACAGTGGCGTATGCACTTTAGGAGTCGGAATTGGGAGGATCTCTTGAGGCCAGGAGTTCAAGACCAGTCTGGGCAACATCACAAGACTTGGTCTCTACAAAAAGTAAAATTTGTAAAACTTAGCCGGGCATGGTGGTGTGCATCTGTAGTCCCAGCTACTTGGGAGGCTAAGATGGGAGGATCCCTTGAGCCCAGGAGTTGGAGGCTGCAGTGAGCCATGATCGCACCAATGTACTCCAGCCTGGGTGAGAGTGAGACCCTGTCAAAAAAAAAAAAAAAAAAAAAAAAAAAAATCCAGGTTGCTTCTGGGAAACCTCTGGAAGATGCAAAAAGGACTACTTTGGGTTTCTCAGACATGAGCTTGTAATTTTGCTTTGGGAATGCTTAGGTCTTACTGTCATTTTGTCCCTTCCTTGTTCTGAAACCTTGAATTCCTCATCACTATCTCAGGGTAAATCCCAAATTGCTTAGCCCTGGCATTCAGAGCTCTTTCCAACCTGACTACTACCTACCTTTCTAGAAAGATTTCCTGATATCCTGAGGCCAGCCCTCTGGTGCAGGCAGACTGGTGTCTTCGTTGTCCTGGCATTGCACTGACCAGCCACACACCCTGGTGAATATGGCAGCATGGTGCAGATCTTCAGAGCCCAAGCTTCAGAGTCAGACCTGGGTCCAAGCCTAGCTTGTCACCTCCTAGCCATGTGACCTGAGACAAGCTCTCTAACTTCTCTGGGCCTTGGTTTTCTTCTCTGTGAAATGAGCATCACACCTCCTTCACAGAGTTACTGTGTGGGTAACTCTGATGTAAGCTATGCCAAGAGCCTGGCATAGGACTGGCACACAGTCAACTCAAAACCAACCCAACTTTCTGCACAAGGCCTTCAGCACTGCCTTCAGGATGAAGACTAAGGGCTTCCATGCGGTTTGCAGGGCGCTTTAGACTCTGCCCCTGCTGACGGCTCAGGCTTCTCTTCCCCCTTCCCCCCTCCCCCTCCACACTCTAACCTCCAGGCTCCAACACACACCTCCACTCCCCACTGAACATTCCTCCTCATCTTTTCTGGTAAATTACCATCTTTTTTTTTTTTTTTTTTTTTTTTTTTTTTTTGAGACAGAGCCTTGCTCTGTCACCCCGGCTGGAGTACAGTGGCTTAGCCTCCCAAGAAGCTGGGATTATAGGCATGCACCACCACACCTGGCTAATTTTTCTATTTTTAGTAGAGATGAAGTTCTGCCATGTTGACTAGGCTGGTTCCCATTTATCTTTTAGGTCCTAGTTTAGACTTCTGTCAGTAATCTTCCTCCCTGGTCCCCATGCCTGGATGGGTTGCTCCTCCTTTGTGCTGTGACATCACACTGCACCCGCTCTCACCACACCATCTGTTGACCAGCCAACCGTTCCCACTAGGCTGGAAGCCCAGGAGAGGATGGCCTTGCCTTGTCATATAGATCACTGGCATAAACCAGTGTTTAGTAGCACAGCAGCTAACACATAGACACGATTTTTTTTTTTTTTAAATAAAACAGTTGTCATCACTGTCTACTCTGGACTTCACATTCCTTCTAGCTCTTTCAGTCTCACTTACGTTCAGACTTGTCTCTGTGCCTTTGCCCTCATCCTGCCCTACCCTGCCCAGGAATGCCTGTCCATTTTCCTCTTGCTTTTCTACATTCTGGGCCAGCTCACATCCAATCCCCTCTATGAAGCTACTTTTATTTAAATCAACACTGACCACTCACTCCCTTCTCTGAATTCTAGCGGCATCCAACTGTCTGTTCCACTCATGTGTTTAAAAAACTTTGAGGACCCCTGGCTTCTGTGCTAGCCACTGAGGATGGTCAGGTGAATTCTGAGGCAACAAGACCCTCCCTGAGTGCCTGTGAGCCAGCTTTGATGCCAAGTCAAGAGCTTTACATTTTTTCTGATGCACAAAGCAATCCTAAAACGAAAGTATTTGCATCCCCATTTTACAGGTGAGAAAACAGAGGATCAGAGACAGGAAGGAAGTGAAACTGCACAAGGTCATAAGGCCAGTAGCTCTGGAGGCAGGACTGACAGGTGTGCTGTTCCCTTCACAGCCCATGCTCTTACCCTGGTCCTTTACTGGGGTCATGTTATTTAGGAGAAGCAGATAACATAGGTACAAAAGTCTTGAGATGGGCAATCAAACACGAGGTGGGGGCAATGTCAAAGGCACAGAGGGGAGGCACACCTTTCCAGTGGGGATCAGAGAAGCTTCCTGGAGGGGGACACTTCCTTGAGTTGGGTCTGGAAGGAAGAGCAGGCAGATGAAGGGGTGAGATGGAGCAGGGAGGACGTTTCAGGCAGAGGGTTCACCACATGCCAAAGTAGGGAAGTGCAGAACAGTTTTTGTGCCATCAGCGAATAGCATGTAATTCCTGAGTAGGATGCAGGCTTGGAGGAGAAGCAGGGAGAGAGAAGGCTGGAGAGAGAGAGACGCTCCATAGGTAGATCTGGAGGTTGTGATCAGCTCTGTTTTCTGGGATTTTTGGGGAACACTTTACACATTTGGACGTCATCCTTGAACAGGGGCCAGGCTAATCGTCTCTGTGTTGGTCCAATTTTAGTACATGTGCTGCTGAAGTAAGCACAGCCCTGTTTTACAGTGTGGAGGGTGCCTTAATACGTGGCCCTCACCTCTGGCTGCACATGAGAATCACCCAGCAGCTCTGGACCAGTTGCATCAGACTCAGAGGTGAGGCGCAGTCACTGGGTTTTAGTACCAGAGCTCCAGGTGATTTTAACGTTCAGCCAGCTGGGTTAGATGGAGGCAAGACTGAAGACAAGAAGACAAGCCAAGACCCATCAAGGAAAGGGTGGCGGTGATTAGAACTTGGGAAAAGCTAGGTACCATTAACGAGTCCAAGCAGGTGAATGAAGACAAAGACCTTAAATTAGGCAGGGACAGTAAGAAATGAAGAGGGTGGAGCTGAGTGATCATTTGCAGGTAGAATCAATCAATATCACTTTTTTTCTTTTCTTTTTTCTTTTTTTTTTTTTTCTTTTTCTTTTTTTTTTTTTTTTTTTTTTGAGATAGAGTCTTGCTCTGTCACCCAGGCTGGGGTGCAATCTCGGCTCACTGCAACCTCTGTCTCAAGCGATTCTCCTGCCTCAACCTCCCAAGTAGCTCGGATTACAGGCACCTGCTACCATGTCAAGCTAATTGTTGTATTTTTAGTAGAGACAGGGTTTCACCATGTTGGCCAGACTGGTCTCAAATTCCTGACTTGAAGTCATCCACCTGCCCCAGCGTTCCAAAGTGCTGGGATTACAGGCGTGAGGCACTGTACCGGGCCTCACTTATCATTACTAAACTCTTAACATGTGTTGAGCACTTAAAACTCTGAGTTATACTGTGTGACATGTGATAGCTACCTTATTTCATTACTTCATTTACTCCCTTGAAGCTTGGAGACTAATGGGTGAGGGAGGAGCCTGAGGGCTCCTGGGCCCTCATGTGTGGGAGCTGGGTGCATGGCTGTCCTGTCCCTAGAACGAGCTGCAGGGAGAAGCTGTGTATCCCTGGGCATGTCCTGTGGGACCTCGCATGATGTCCTGAGTAGCAGAAAGATGGGAGAGTGATGGGTTGGCTGGATGATGACTGGCTGATATATTTTCTGCCCTCATAGTTTTCACCATGGCCAGGATCTCTTCAGAGTCACGATTCAATGGAATTTATGCCAGGTGTGCCCTGATTTGGGGGTGTTTCTCAGATGATGTGTAGTACCCCCTCTCAGAAGAGCCAGAAGCCGAAGAAACTCAGATACACTTGATTTGCTCATTCATTCTCTCACAGGAATTGTCTTCTAAATTACAAACATGAAACAGCGCAGAGAATGGTCTCGAGCTGGAAAGGATCTGGGAGGAAATGATCTGCTGAAGGGGTTATTTTCAGCTACTTTCACTTACTGCTTTAAACTATGCTTTTATTGTTTGAGGTTTTTGCAGCAAGCACATACGACTTACATAATAAAAAAATTTCCATTTTGGAAAAACAAAAAGTGTGCAGGTTTATTGTAGAAAAGATTTTATTCCTAGTGACTGATGGTGATGTTATGTGCCAAAATTATCTGGGGCTTCTCTTTCGATTTCAAGGATCCAGGCTGCAGATAACAGCTGGGTGCAGCTCTAACTGCCCTGACTCTCCCCATACACCAACTTACCCCATTCCTCTCTAAAGAAACTGCACAGCTTAATGCACATCTAAAGTCTCCAGTGCGTCTCTGGTGATGTTCAAAACATAATTTTGTTAAATTAACTCATTAAAAAAGAGATCTTTGCCATAGGCCCTAGGGAGGCTAGGGGAAAGCAGAGGGCGATTAGTCGAGAGAATTAGAGATTTCTGACATCAAAGACGCCGTGTCACTCCTGAAACCAGATGCGGAGTCAGTGTTCTGCATCTCCATGTTTCTAACACCCACCACAACCACACGGCAGGCAGGTACTGTTCCTGAAAATTAGGTTACAAAATGCCTCTCCTATGCCGTAACTTCTCCCGTGCATCGCTTTTCTTGGAACTTGGCGTTTCCCGCACATGCATATCGCACAAAATGTCAATGTCAGCTGTAGGTCAGCAGACGTTACGATGGGGACAAAGCAGATGGAAAAAAGCAGCTTAACTGCTTCTCTGCTGCCTGCAATCCCATCATTACGGGAATCATTTTGAATGGAGGGAGCCCAGCGGGTCAGAACCATCCCCGCTGTGAGCCTGCCCCCGCCAAAGTCAGGAGGGGGGCATTCGGTTCTCCGGGGAGCTAGGGCAGCGTTCTCGCTGGGGGATGGTGCTGGCCTAGAAGAGACGGGGTGCAGAGGGAGGCGGCGGCACCCAGCGGGAGCGCGCCTCCTGGCTCGGGCCGGCCCTCACCTTTGTACCGCAGCGAGTCCTCGGTGTAGGCCAGCATGCTGGGGAAGGTGCTGCTGAGAAACAGGCCCAGGCTCGCCGTCCCCACGAACAGGAAGACGACGTTGTAGGAGAAAATAAGCAGCACTAGGAACGTCACCACCACGCCGACCTGTCGCGGCAGAGGTGGAGGCGGTTAGGAATTGCGAAAATCTGAGCATCGGTGGAGGGAGCTGCCAGGAGTCGGCGCCTCCAGGCTTGGCGGTGCCTCTCTGGCCCCTGGAGCCCAGCTCTGTGACCCGCGCGCCACCCCGTGGACCGGGCGGGAACCGCAGCGTTCCCCGGGACCTTGCTGACATCCAGAAGGAAGCCGGGGAAGGAGACCCCCCGCCTAGACATATTCCCACCTAGACATCTCTCCTAACAGCTACCGTACCTGCTGCGTAAGCGTTTGGCGACTGCCTGTCCCCAGGGTCTTATCTGTAACCACGGGAACTCCACTCAAGCCAATTTCATCAGCTCTCTCTGCCCTGCCAGCCCTGGGGGTAGGAGAGGCCCCTATTTCTTTGTGAGAAGCTGCTTCTCTTGTCCTAAAAGCCAGGAGTGCACAAACAGGAAGCCCTCAGATAGTAGGAGAGGAGGGGTGGTGGCTGCAGGGTCCCATTCTCTGGGAATCCTAGCCAACCTTCCAGGGAGAGGGCCAGAGGCTGCGGCAATCAGCTTGGTGCCCTCAGATTTGGCTCAGATTCCCATGGGCAGATGCTAACCTATGGCTGAAGACCCAGAAATCTTTCTTTTCTTTCCTTTTTTTTTTGTGTGTCTCACTCTGTCGCCCAGGCTGGAGTGCTCACTGCAGCCTCAACCTCCAGGGCTCGAGCGATCCACCCACCTCAGTCTCCCGGGTAGCCGGACTACAGGCGTGTGCCACCACACCTGCTAATTTTCTGTATTTTTAGTAGAGACAGGGTTTAGCCATGTTGCCCAGGCTGGTCTTGAACTCCTGGGCTCAAGCAATCCGCCTGCCTCAGCTTCTCAAAGTGTTGGGATTACAGGCGTGAGCCACCATGCCAAATCTTTCTAGTTCAGTAAAGGTCTCTGTCACACAGGCATATTTTTGTTAACATAACCGTATTTCTAAGTTCTTTAAACACGGTTTTATGTCTGCATTGAGTCATTTCTATGCAAGATGTATCTGGGAGTAAATCCAGGCAGCACAAGATTTGGGGTCAGAAGACCCAGGTGGAAGTCCTGATGATGTTTGTTACCAGCTGTGGAACCCGGAAGTAGCTGATGGCTCTGAGTCTTAACTTCCTAATCTGCAAAATGGGAATAGTTACAAAACCCATGCTAAAGAGTGGTGGTGAAAGAATATAAATGAAGGGGTCCTGTAAACTGTGGTGCTTCAGACAAATATCAGTCCTAGTGTTCCTCTGTGGGCTTTTCTTAGATGTCCCAGGAGATAAGGATCCTCTATAGCCACCTCAATGGCTTTGAGGTAAAAATCCCCTGGATGAGGACAATTGTTTCTAAAAAAAAAGGTAAGTACAGAATATAGAGCTATGCAAGCAATCTCATCCAGCTCCCAATGCCTCCACTTCTGGGCATACAGAAAGGAAAAGGCTTTCAGAGTCAGGATCCTGGGAGATCTGCTCCAACTGGAAAATCAAACCAGTGGTCCCCAGTCCTTGAGGCCTTTACTCTCCTCTAGCAGCCCTCCTTCGGTCTCTGCCACAGGAGCTGTTAGGTGGAAAGTGTTCTTGAGGCTCAGAGTCCTTACCCGGACAGATTTCCTGCCCTGGGGAGGGATCGGCCACAAAACAGTGGCTGAAGGAGAGAAACACATTCCCTTCACAATGGAAATGGAAACACAAAAGACTTCTTTCATGCAGTAAATATGAAAGTCATAGCATATCTATGGTTCCAAAGGTCATGTCTTTCTTTCTTTGGTGTGGAACACGGTCCCTGAGATCCATTTGTTCTTGCTTCCCCCTCTACTCACTCAATGTTGGGATGGCCCAGGGTTCTATTCTGGCCCTTCCGTATCCACGGTGCCCTGCTCCATGTTCACCTGCCCCTACAGCAGGAGGCTTATATCTATCCCTCTAGCCATGAGCTGTGTCCAGGACTGCGGACTTGCACCTAAAGCTGCCCCTTTGATACAGTCAGTTCCTGCATGACTAACCACGTGGCCCAAACAAGACTTTTCACTTCCTCTGCTAATCCTACTCCTGCCCACATCAAGTGAGAGCGTCCCCGTCACGCAGTTGCTCAAACCCTGTGTCTAAGTCCTTGATCCCTCCCACACCTGGGTCAGCAGCAAGTCCTGCCCACGCCACCTCAAAACACATGTTAGATCTTTGTATTGCTCCGATCCATCCAGACCACCCCCAACCCAGCCACCTCCCTCTTGCGCCTGAACTGCAATAACAGACAATCCATACTTGACTCTTGCCAGCTACAGTCTGTTCTTCTACACTAGAGTGCACTTGTAAAATGTAATGCAAGCCGGGCGCGATGGCTCATGCCTGTAATCTCAGCACTTTGGGAGGCTGACGCAGGTCACCTGAGGTCAGGAGTTTTTAGTATATTGACCAGCCTGGTCAACATGGTGAAACCCTGTCTGTACTAAATATACAAAAATTAGCCAGGCTGGTTAATTTTTGAATTGTGGTGGAGGGCACCTGTAATCTCAGCTACTCAGGAGGCTGCAGCAGGAGAATCGCTTGAACCCAGGAAGCGGAGGTTGCAGTG